TGTACAAGTTTGGCATAAGTTTGAAGATAGATAAGTCCCCCGGGCCTGATGGGATTTATCCAAGGATTCTATGGGATGCGAGGGAAGAGATCGCAGGGCCTTTGGTGATGATCTTTTCATCCTCACTGTCCACGGGTATTGTGCCGGAAGATTGGAGAGTGGCAAATGTCATTGCCTTGTTCAAAAAAAAAAAGGAATAGGGATAACCCTGGAAATTACAGGCCAGTTAGTCTTACTTCAGTGGTGGGCAAATTATTGGAAAGGGCTCCGAGAGATAGGATTTATGACCACTTGGATAAGCACAGTTTGATTCGTGATAGTCAGCATGGATTTGTGAGGGGTAGATCATGCCTCATAAACCTTATTGAATTCTTTGAAGAGGTGACCAAACACGTGGATGAAGGTAGAGTAGTGGATGTGGTTACATGGATTTAAGTAAGGCATTTGATAAGGTTCCCCATGGTAGGCTCATGCAGAAAGTAAGGAGGCATGGGATAGGGGGAAATGTGACAGATTGGATTCAGAATTGACTGACCCTTAGACAACAAATGGTGGTAGTGGACGGAAAATATTCAACATGGTCCTCAGTGGTGTACCACAAGGATGTGTTCTTGGTCCTCTTCTATTTGTGATTTTTGTAAATGATTTGGATGAAGGAGTGGAAGGGTGGATTAGTAAGTTTGCGGACGATACGAAGGTGGGTCGAGTCGTGGATAGTGCGGAGGGCTGTTCTAGGTTACAAAGGGACATTGATAGGATGCAGAGCTGGGCTGAGACGTGGCAGATGGAGTTTAACCCTGAAAAGCGTGAGGCGATTCATTTTGGAAGGACAAACTTGAAAGCAGAATACCGGGTTAACGGAAAGATTCTTGCAGTGTGGAGGAGCAGAGGGATCTCGGGGTTCATGTCCACAGTTCCCTCAAAGCTGCCACCCAGGTGGCTAGAGTTCTGAAGGTGTATGGTGTGTTAGCTTTCATTAGTAGAGGGAGGAAGTTCAAGAGCCATGAAGTTATGCTCCAGCTATACAAAAGCCTGGTTCGGCCACATCTGGAGTATTGTGTCCAGTTCTGATCACCTCAGTACAGGAAAGATGTGGAAGTGTTGGAAAAAGTGCAGAGGAGATTTACCAGGATGTTGCCTGGAAGGTCTTACAAGGAAAGGCTGAGAGAGCTAGGGCTTTTCTCTTTAGAAAGAGAAAGGATGAGAGGTGACTTGATAGAGGCGTACAAAGTGATCAGAGGTATAGATAGAGTGGACAGCCAGAGACTTTTTCCCTAGGATGGAGGTAGCTATTACGAGGGGGCCTAGTTTTAAAGTGAGTGGAGGTAGATATAGGGGAGACATCAGAGGTAGATTCTTTACTCAGAGTGGTAGGGGCGTGGAATGCATTGCTGGAGAGTCAGCCTCATTAGGGGCATTTAAGCAGCTATTAGATAGGCATATGGATGATAGTATAAGGTAGGGGTGGAGGTTAGATAGATCTTAGGTTTGGGGTAAAAGTTCAACACAACATCGTGGGCCGAAGGGCCTGTACTATTCTACGTTCCATGTTCCAAGCTCCTTGCTCCTGTTAACAAAGCCTCGGACATTGTTCACTTTATTAGCTCTTAACTCTACCCCTTCTGCAAATTTTGGTTACTTATGCACATTTATACCCAGGTATCCTTTCTCCTGCACCTTTAAGGTAGCACCTTCTATTTTACACTGTCTTCATGCTCTTTCTACCAGTATGCATCATCTCACATATATATGCATTGAACTCAGCATTGCATCTGCCACCTATCTGTCCACTCCACCAACTTGTCAATGTACTTTAAACTGTACTCATCATCGCTGCAAGTTCTGTATCATCCACAAACTTGGAATTGTCCCCTGGATCTAAATCATAAATGTACATTGGGAAAAATCAAGGGTGCCCAAACATTGGGAACTATTGCTCCTGGTTACCTAACTTTCAGCCAAATTTGTACCCATGGTGCTCCTGTTCCATTTATTACATAAGCTACACATTTTCTCAAGTTTATTGTGTGGCATTCTATCAAATGCCTTTTGAAGTCCAGGTACACTCTAAACAAATCTGTTATCTCTTAAAAAAAAAATCCAGTAAAGTTAGCTAAACATGATTTTCCCTTAAATTCATGCTGGCTCTTCCTATTTAAACCACATTTTCCATTCAATTATTAATTCTATCTATTCTAATAAATGATTTCGACAAGTTTTCTCACCATTGAAGTTAAACTGACTGGTCAGTAATTACTAGGGCTATTCTTACAACTTTTTATGAATAAGGGTGTCACATTTACAATTCTCCAGTCCTCAAACGTTCCCAACCACCTCCACACTGATTCTAGAAAAGCTTGAAACCCTATTTCTAGTGCCTCTACAATTTCTACTCATTTCCTTCAATATCCTTAGATGCAAAACTGGTTCTACTCCCTTATCAACAGCCTATCCAATATCTACTTCTTGTCGATTTTAAGCCCTTCCATTGATGGAGTTTCGTCCTCTGCCATCATGACTTGTGGATCATCATCCTTTGTAAAAACAGATGCAAAGTATCCAATTCATTCCCCAGCCACGTCCCCCATCTCCATGTGATGATCTTTCTGGTCCATAATCAATTTTATTCCTACTGTTACCATTCACTGTGTGTGCCTATAGAAGGCTTTGACTTGATTGGTAGTTTTTTTTTTCCCCATAATCCCTCCATCCACACCAGGCTTTGTCATCAAACAGGAAAATAAACTATTTGCTGTAAGCAAACATGCTTTTTCAAATGTACAAAATGGACTACTAATACACTATGAGCCTTAAGCTGGACTATATCCTAAAACCATAGATACATGCATTCATTCATGAATAAGATAGACAATAAAAAGGACAGTTTGACTCAAACATTATGGATGGAAAAAGTATAGAGAAAACAAATTCTCCAGATCAAAATGTCCAGATCACAAAAGGTGGCTAATGTTATTTCTCAAATTTCGTTTGATTTTTTGTTTCAGTCATGGTGACTTCTTGTCATCTGTCGTGCTATGGTCAATGTTCAATTCAACAGCTGAGTGGGTACACCCGAGTCTTTTCGGTCTTAGAATTATTTTCACAGCCCCCAAGTTTCTGTATTTCTCGTTCACAGAGAGAAACGATGAGATGTACTTTTTGTTTATAGGCTTCTGGATGTTTCAGAGTGCACGGCCCTCGCTGGACTGTTACAAACTGCAGCTGGGCCAATCTGTAGGCTGTCATTAAGAGGTTTTTCCCCAAACCTGAAATCTTATGGTGTTACTCCATCTCAAAACATATCTACCTCACTGCTCTAAATATTAACATAGTCTCAAACAGCTAAAGTGTACATCATGTAATACCAATTAATCTTTGAGCTGCAAAAGTTCTTGTGATACTTTTAGCTAAATCACAATCCAATTTCCAGGTTATATTCTAAAGGAAAGAAAAGGTGGTCCCTTACTTCTCTTTTTTTCACCTCCCTTGTCAACCTTCATTCTCAATTGTATTTTCTACTTGATATCTGTCATAAGCATATTTTTTCTTCTTTAACTTAATCTCAATTTCATTTTAAAATCAAAAAAGGTTTAGTTTTTGCCCCATATGTTTGAAAGAATATATCGCAATTTCTGGCTTTGAAGGTAACCCAATTTTCAGACACAGCTTTTCCCAGTGACCTTTAGTTCCAGTCTATCAATCACTGCCCTGCTTTTGCCCCATTGAAATCAGTTCTCCCTAGGTAATTATTCTTGCTGTTTTCCACTGACATTCTAAACTTTATTTTACAATGGTCCCTGGCCTGTAAATCCTCCCTCACTAACACTTACTTTATTTGGCTCGCACGTTTCCTTAGTACCAGGTCTTGCAGTGCCAATTTTCCTATTGGACTGAATGCAATCTAGGAAAATTCCCCTGCTGCTCTTTACACTGACACTATTAAAGCCCCCTGTTATTACTATTCTATGATTCTTGCATCTCTCCACAGTTCGATTGCGGATTTGTTTCACTTGGTAATCTGTAGACTGCATCGAGCAATGCAATTTCACCCTTAGCTCTAGCCAAGTCAACTGTCCTTCACCTCTTTTGGGCTTCCGGTTTCTGCAGCACTAAATGCTCTCCTTAATCAAATGCCATTACCCCTCCCCCTATATTTCATGAACTTTGTAACCAAGAATATTTAACACTCAGTCTTCCCCTTCCTTGAGCTGTTTCTGATCTAGCCAAAAAACTATAATTCCAATTGGCAATCTGCACCTGTAGTTACTAATCTTCTTGACTATTCTGTGCATTTACATAGCTTAAACCTAATTTGGACTCCATTTCTTTCTTCCTTTCTGCAACTTTGCCTATTAAATTATTCTCTAACGTTCTCTCCCAAATTTTTGTGCCCCCCTGGTATTAGACCTTAGTATACTCTCCTGATCCTGCACTTCGCTGAATTAGTTTAAAACCCCGCCTCCCCCTCACACATACAAAACGGCACCAGAAAAATGGCCAGCTCGGCACACATTCCTGATGCAGAGTGCAACTCATCTGGTTTGTACAGTGACATATCACAGTTGTAGAAAACTAAAGCCCTCCATCCTGCACAATCCTTCCAGTCTCACTAACACATCATCCCATGTGATTTGCATTTCCATCCTCCTAAATAGTGTATCCCATAATTGATGAATCAACCCCTGCTGCTGACATCAGTTGCATCTTTATATTTCCTCCATCATCTATGAAGATTGATGGTAAACAATCGCTTTTTAGGTTTGGACAATCAGATAAGGTTTAAATTGTAAAATACTTACATATTCCTAAATTTACAATTGAAAAAATCCAGTGTATAGTTTGTGTAAAACACAGGATAGTCTTTCATCACATCAACAGAACCAATGTCTTCACTTCCTTCCGTTTTTTAAATTCTGCAATGTGCGCTGATAAATTTCAGGGAAAAAGTGGCCTTAAAACATTGAAAATGTTTTTAAAAAGAACATAGATTCACTCAATCCTTTGGGACTCAACATGCAATTTATTTCCTTAAATGATTCATTATTGAACAACATAGAAGACAATTTTTTATTTGCAAAGTTGTAAAGATATGCCTTCTCAGGTAATGCAAATGGGACAATGCAAAATACCTGCTATTTTATCCTTCAAATATTTTAAGATTTAGGCAATAACATCCTTGCAGAATTTGATAGGATTAGTCATTGTTAGGGTTAGGGATAATGACCTTGCTAGCTGCGTTATTTTATTTGAGATATTGAATGAAAGGGTCTTGTAGATGATACATATTGCAGCTGTGTCAGTGGTGGAGGAAGTGAAGATTTGTGGATATATTACATATCAAGCAGGCTGCTTTGTCGAGCTTTTTGACCGAGTGCAGTTCCAACAACATTCAAGCAAGTAGGGAGTATTCAACCAAAACCCCAACTTCTGTCTTGAATATTGTGGACTGACTCAGGAGATTCAGATGAGTTACCCACTGCAGGGTTTCTATCCTCACCTGTTCTCTTAGTTTTGACATGACTAGTCAAGATAAGTTTTTGGTCATGATATTGACAGTGGAGGATTCACTGATAGTAATGCCATTGAATGTCAAGGGGCAACAGTTAGATTTTCTCTTGTTAGAGACACAGTCATTGCCTGGCACTTGTTTGGAGCAAACATCATTTGCCACTTGTCAACACCAATCTGGATACTGTCCAAGTCTTGCTGCATTTGGGCCTCAGACTGCTTCAGTATCGGAGTACCAAATGGTGCTGAACATTGCGCAATCAGTAGCGAGCATCCCCACTTCCGACCTCATGATGGAGGGAAGGTCATTGATGAATCAGCTGAAGATGATTGAACGAGGACACTGCCGAGGAACCTCTGCAGAGATGTCCTGGAGCTGAAAAGATTGAAATGACTCCAATAAACATGACCATCTTCCTACATGGCAAGTATGACTCCAACCAGTGGTTAACTCTCCTGCCCTCTACCCTCATGCCCATTGACTCTAGTTTTTTTGGGGCACTTTGATGCCACACTTGGTTGAGTGTGCATTGAATTCAAGGGTAGTCACTCTCACTTCACCTCTGGAATTCAGTTCTTTTGTCCATGGTAGTACCAAGCTGGAATTAAGCTCAGGAGCTGAGTGGCCATGGCAAATGCAAATTGAACTTCAGTGAGCAGGTCATTGCTATCAAGCAGGATTTGCTTAGCACCATTGATGGTCCTGCCCATCATTTTGATTATGGATTGAGGGTAAACTAATGGTATGTTGGATTTCTCCTGCTTTTTGTGTACAGAACATACCTGGGCAATTTCCCACACTACTAGTGTTGCAACACCACTAGACCAGCTTGGGACAGGATACAGCAAATTCTTTGATTTGGTTTGATTTGATTTATTTATTGTCACATGTATCTTGTTACAAAATACAGTGAAACATGTTGTAGTGTCGCCATCTCCAGCACCATCTTATAACACAAAAATAAACCAAAAAACATAGAATATAAAAGGCAGAAAAATGAAGAAGGAAGTGTCCAACTTTACAGTCCTTCTTGTTAAGTGCTCCACCATGGGCCAGGGGCCTGAGATAGCCAGGCATGAGTCTCCTTCGCCATGCTGCCACTGCTGGAACAAAATTCGTCACTCTTTGGCACCATCTTGCATCCACCACCGCCCTCGCTACCATGAGTTTTTGCTAGACCTCTACTGCGCATGCCGCTGATGCCGCCCAGTACCATTCCAGCCTAAACTCGACTCCATCGCCATCATGAGTCTGCTTTGGGCCTACCTTGCCAATGCAGCCACTGGGTCTTGTACTGGGCCCAAATTCACCTCTGCCGCCACCTCCTTGAATCTGTGCTGGACGCAGAAGCCACCAGGAACCCAAACTCACCTCGGACATCACTGCCACAAGTCTGCAATTTTGGGCCTACTCACCGCCACTGATGCCGTCACCACGATTGATCTCTTCACCAAAAGCAGACAAGCCCAGGCCTCAGAAGCCCTACTCCACCACCATCTTACCAGAATGGTATGAATCTTCCATGCTATTGTCAGTATGTTGTCAGGCCTCAGTCTTTACAGTATCCATTTTCTCCAGCTATTCTTTGACATCAAATGGAGAGAACTGAATTGGTTGAAGACTGCCATCTATGACAAATAGAAAAGAAGCAGTTAAGTCAACCTACTAAGTTAATAAGGAAGGAAAGTATCTCTGGATTTTTAACTGCAAAGTGATGATTTTGCGTACTACATCAGATTTCGTTTTGCCAGGTGTTGGAATCTTCTAAACTATTAGATGAATAATAGACTTCCCTTTTATTGTTAGGACCAAATCTGCAGGCTGGCTGGCTTATGTTTCATTTAAAATAGTGATCTTTCAATATTTAAAAAAAAAAAAAAAATTAACATATGATCTATCAAGCAAGATTTTATTCTGGGATTTGACTTGTTCAGTAGAACAGCAGCTGGAATCCTAACATCTTCTGCCGCAAACTCTCCTTTTGGAGGATGTTTGGCTATTGCTGGACCTTGCTGTCGGTCCTGGACTTGCAGACGTGTTGTTCCTCAGAGTGTTCTTTATGCCATGGCCTCAGTGGTGGTAACACCCGTTGCACCTGGATCTATTGTTGGTTCCAATGAGGCTACGTGGAGAGTATCAGCAACAAAACAGTTCCTTAGTAATGTGATCACTTAGCAATCATAGCACACAAAAATAACTGTTATTGATACAATGAGACATGGAGGCCTCCGACAAGAAAGGTAATTGGATGCCTTTACATGGTAAACTGCACAAGCCATGTTGTGCACATACAGTAGATCATAAGTGTGGTAGAATCAGACACCTTACCCCATACCCTTATGCCCTAATGACCCAAGACAGACAACATTCTGTATAAGAGCAATATTTTGAAATACTTACAGTTCAATGACGGAGGTGAGCAGCTCTTCTCCTTGCACAGCCTATGAGGAATTAGAAGGGGTTTGCAAATGGTGGACTGTAGATGACACTTGAAAAGGTCTTGTGCCCACTTGTGACTCAGGGAGATTACTGGGATAAATTCGTTAAGGTGAATATCATGATCAGGATTGCTTGTACCCAGATTTGTAATCTACACTGTTGTTGCATTCAAGCAAATTGAGAGTCAGGTGTCCTTAATTTGAAATATGAAAGTTTCTTATTAATGGAACCATCTACTGAACCATCACATCATATACAAGTGGAGATTGCTCCTGAGTCAAAACAAAAAACTTATTCTGTCCACTCTGGGTGAGCTGGTTACCGTTTTTCATTTTCATTGTGCATTGGCAACTCAGATGAAGATGGAAGGCAATATAGCTAGCACATAAGAGAGTCAGTCACAGGCTCTGCATGTAATTTTAGGTACACTGACCGCCACCCTGCATCGACACCCCTCCAAGTGTCATGTTTCTTTCTGCATCACATCGCTCTCAAACCCATCAGGTTTGAACCTCTCCACATTCCAAACAGGCCATCTTATTTAACTGTACATCTCCATTCATTACGCCCTTGAGCCATCCCCCACCCCCACCCCCACCCCAGGATGATGAGGATGACTTTCAATAACCTAACCTTCTAAAGTACCCAGTGGCCTCCCATTCTCTATTGTCTCCCACCTTAAATGTTGAGCTATTCCCCTCTGTTTCTGAGCATGTTGCCTCCAATCCCCACACTTGATTTCCCAACTTCGACACCACAGCAGTGGCCCCTGACAACCTCCCTTTAGTTCACCAAGCCCCAGAACTGCGTGTGGCCCATGCCCAACTAACTTGGAATGACAATCCCAACTGATTATGGGCCAGACCCAGACTGATCTCTGCGCACCTCCCCAATTAAATTGCCACTAATCCCTGGACAGGTTGGACTCAATGTGCTCAACTGACCATATCCATTCTGCAGACTGTAACGAGAGGAATACCAGACCCTGATCACATCAAATGGGCTGACTGATCACGTCCAAGCCTCTGAACTGAAACTGAATGCTGTTGACTATGACAGGACCCACCCCGATTGACCATTGAGCTCCTGGACTGGACTAAGGACCACTCTTCTTTGACATTTTGACATGGCCATTTCGACATGGCCATTTCATTGAATCACATGCAATGAGTTGGCCACGTAAGCTGCTGGCACATGCTGTAGGTGTGACAATGATCTCGCATGGTGCCTTACAGCGACATGCCTGTCCCTTGGCAGATTGCCACTGGAAAATACGCCAAATTGTCTGGCTATCTGTCTACACTAAACAGCAAGGCAAGGCAAGACAGCATGAGCCTACAAATACTGAATGAAGAGGACATGCATAAAAAGACAAGGCAAGACAGAGATGCTGTGAGCATCCAAGTAAGTGAATACCAAAAAAGTGAGCTAAGAGATGTAATCCTGTTCTGATGCACGAGAGATAGTTGCCTGTCCCTGTGTACAAAGCAGCAGCATTGCAATGTTAGATTTCAGTGTGTTCCAAAGTTTAGTATTGAAGCACTGAACTTGATTAACAAAAACAGAAGTTGCTGGAAAAGCTCAGCAGGTCTGGCAGCATCTGTGAAGAGAAATCAGAGTTAATGTTTCAGGTCTGGTGACGTTTCCTCAGAACTTTATTAGCAGTTGGTCCAATGTGTGCCATAAATGTGGTGAGGCTGGTACTTTGCAAATGCCAACCTCTATGGACAGAGGGGCAGGCAGATGCTGCCCATGGAGAACATCCATAAAGATTGGAGATTCTTGGTCAAAATTGATGCAAATAGAATTCGCTGATGAACTGCAGCCAACAGCTCTGACTTTCGTATTGGGAACTAGTGCCATCTAGTTTATCTCTGTAACTTGGGAAAATGCCCAGTACTGAGGTGAAATTAGCTAATAATGAGACGTTAATGAATGCAAGTAAGTCCCTTGTTATGTGGAAAATCAAACTTTTTTTTTCTCAGAAGTCTAGACTCTGTTGGTTCCATTTTTGTCATATTTTACTAATTGTCTCACCATTTCCCATGTCATTCAGAGGCTGAAAAAACAAATATTCTATCCATTGTTTTTAAGCACTGTTTAAATATTTTGTATGTCATGCCTCATTTTCTCTGTTTTTCTTGTTTCTAGGATTTATTAGTCTTGTAAATAATGTGCTTACTTGACTTTAGACTGAACCATGTATTTTGCTTTCCATCATGGGTAAAAGTACAAGGTAAGAACCCTATAACTTCTTGTGCAAAATTATGATCAAAGAGTAATTGTTGGACCAGTAGCACACTCGTCCCATTCACTATTCCTTCAGGGTGTAAACGTAGGATCATGAGCGGAGGGAAGCTGTTTCGCTGCAAACATGAAGACAGAGAATTGGGAAAGAATCCAAATTGTAATACAACCTTACCCCAGTAGTCAACATGACCCCTGCTTGGCTTAACTTACAGAATAGTTTGCTTCTGTGAAAACTCCCCTGTGAAATGGCAATGACTACATATGGGTCAAAGAGAGCTGCCTATTGCAACAAGGAAAGATTTCTCATATGGTTTGAACTAATTGCACATCTGTATTTACACACGTGCCAGGGTATTTTCGGTTATATAAATCGTGTGTCACTATTTTGGGTGCACTGCACTTTGTTTCTTCAAGCACAGCTTGCTGATAATATGTTTGAGAATTACAGAACTTTCCCTCATTCATCTTCTGTATTTATAATGTGAATTGAATAAAATATACACATCTCCAAAATGTATTGTTTTTATGATAGGAGATTGTGGAAATCCTTGACACCATGCAAATTGTATTGCACCTACAAATTTCAGTTGCTTTTTATATGACTTGCATTATTATATTCTGAAGATATGCTTTAATAAGGAAATGCCACATTTGCCCAGATTTTCTGTGATAAATACAGTAAAAATGCTAATGCTCACTAATTTTTTCCACTGAAACTGACAGCAACTTTGGGAGTCTACACTTGTGCAGAATAAATATGGAAATTCACAAACTGCATTGGTTAAATCTATGTTGCTTCACTGGGTAAGTGTAGACTGCAGTCTTTACGTGAAAATTTGTTTTCATCAAATTGATAGTATCGCTGTATACACCCTTGTAAGAGTTGCACCTTGTTGAATGAGGTCCAAAATAGGTTTACAATGACCTGAAAACTTCATAATTTCTGCTAAACATCCTTACAACCTATGGTAAGCCGATATATTTGAGGAATAGCAAATTTCTCCAGTGGTTAAAAAAAAATCTAAATTTTTAAAATCATACCTTTTAAAAAGTTGTTGTTATAGATTCTATTTTAATCTTATATAGTCATTTTTAAATTTTGGGATAATAATAAAATGAAGTGATTTCAAGATTTAAATTTCCTAGTATTGCCATCTGTGAAAACAGTAATGGAATCCTAAAAGTTTACAGGACAAAAAAAGTCACTTCAGCTTATCAAGTCTGTGATGGTCAAAAACAACAATCTAACTATTTTAATCACATTTTCTAGTACTAGGCCTATGGCCTTGCAGGTCTTGGTGTTGCAAATGTACATCTAAATGCTTATTAAAGGTTGAGGGTTTCTGCCTCTGCCACCCTTACAGGCAGTGAGTTCCAGCTTCCCAACACACACCATTGAACAATTGTTTCCTCACATCCCCACTAAACCTCTGGCCCCTTACTTTAAATCTATGCCCCCTGGTCATTGACCACTGTAGCAAAGGGAAAAAGATTCTTCTTGTATACCTTACCAATGCCTCTCATAATTTTAAACGTCTTAGTCATGTACCCCCTTAGTCTCCTCTGCTCCAACACAGAAGCAATCCCAGTCTATACAACTCTCTGCATAACTAAAGATCTCCAACCCAGGCAATTTCCTCTGCACCCTCTCCAATCCACATTCCTCCTACAATGTGGATTCCAGACCTGCAAACAATACTATAGCTGTGGCCTAACCAACGTTTTAGGCAGTTACAGTATAACCTCCCTGCTCTTCAAGCTATGCCTCGGCTGATAAAGGCAAGTATTTCATATCAGTGTCCCATGTGGGACCTTATCAAATGCCTTGCTGAAGTCCAAATAGACTACATCAAACACATTGCTCTCATCTTGATATGACATGACACTTAAAACCATGCTGACTGTTTGATTAATCGCTGCCTCTCCAAGTGCAAATTAA